TTGGCCGGCTGTCAAACTGTACCTGGCATGAGAAAACCCACTCATCATGTAAGAGCCGGAAACAGAAGTGGGATTGAGAATGGTGTAATGGTTCTGCTTCTGCCTAAAATATTCCATGTAGGAATTCTGGATTCCCAGACTGTCTCAAAGATACAGGTATGTGAAAACCTCAACATAGCCAAATTTGGATAAATATCCATCTTGGCTGAAACCTCAAACTATTAGAAATATCACAGGGAAGAAGATATCCTCAAGGGCTATACCTCAATTAGTATCCAGGCTTTTTGGCTTAAGGAACTTTCTTTTGTGAACAGTGTATAAATCCATTTTCTAAGTATATTTTGACCAGAGTCTGGAAGCTGCTTAGCTGCAAGGTGAACAGAGTAACTCATCCCTACTGGAAACACATCCATGGGGATCTACACTTGAGAAGAGTAGAAATAATGTAAAGATCATCCTTATGTGGCACCACATTCCCCTGAAGACGCCAAACTGCTGATGTGTTAATCCAATAACAATGTATCCCCGTCTGAGAACAACCTGTTAAAGCTTGGGTGTTGCAAGCGATTGTCTACTTTGGATTATAGTAAAAATACAGCATCTGAATGTCAAAGACTTATCCCATCATTTCTCATCCCAAACTAGCAGTCAATTTCAATAACATTTTCATTTTGTGAGGACAATGGACTATTTTACTGAATCCTTTGAAGAGTATAATTTTAAAGTGTCTAGTGTTCTCACTGTGCTTTGTTTGGCTAGTCATCTCTCAAACAGCTCTCCTTGAACTCTGAGCAACGTCTCTCCCATGCTGAAAGAAGTTTGTTCACTCAGGTCTAGCCCCATAGCCCCACTGCCCCACTACTGGAAAAGCTCTTCACAGTTTTATCCCTCTGTGACCCAGTATCTTACATGCTCAAAACAGACTCCAGGAACATGAAGAGGAAGGACGGACCTTCTTTGAAACAAGAAGTTGACTTGAATTCATCGCTAGTCAGTAGCTCAATTATACTCAATCACCTCTCTCCACAGTTACCCCGCCTTTGGCTATGGGCTGGTCACTACCTCACAAGGCAGTGTGTTTTAGTTTTACATCTAGCGATTAGCTGACATCACTCCTCACAAGATGAGATTCCAGGTGTCTTCAGCATAGTGGATATTTGTTATGATCTCTGGTGTCCTGATAGCCAGGCTCTCCCCTGAGTTAGCTACCCAGAGATAGGATAGCTGTGTCTTCACAGTTGTGATTTGAGGCATTCTTGATTAGTTATGTTTGCTTGCTTATTTGTTTCAAGTTTCCCAAAGTTTTACATTGGAATTTGATTGGAATTGGGTTAATTTTATACGTCATTTGAAAAAAATAGCTTTACAAATTGTGTTCCCTATCCAGAAGCTTGCTTCTCTATTTATCAGAGCCTTATATCCCTGAGTAAACTTTTCTCCTTTTCTTCTTCTAAGTCCTGTACAGCTGTGTTACTGTACATAGTTTTTATCCGTTATATTTTTTCTAGTTGGCCATTGCTTTTACATAGCAAAGTTGTTATTAATTATATATTTGTATAAGCATTCACCTCATTGAATATTACTAATTTTCAATCATTTGCTTTAGTTTTGTTATAATTAGTGTACAGTTACACCATCCACAAA